GACAGATGTAGTGTGTGCCATTAGCCTGTATGTTGTGTGCATGGCCGAATGTAGTCGTGTGCCACAGTTTGTATGTCGCGTGCATACATTTGTTAATTAGCAGAGCCTGAGTTCGAAACCTGATGCTTACATGTATTCTTGTGTGCCATTATGTATTAAATTGTGTGCCTGATAGTAATTTGTTGTGTGCCCTTTATTTGTCCTCACAGTCCTCTATATATTGTTGTCCTCATTTGAACTCAACCCTATATATATATATATATATATATATATATATATATATATATATATATATATATATATATATATATATATGTATTCCGTTTCAAAAATGGCTTTTGTATATATACCATATCTATGTATGATACTTAACGGTATTGGTGGGTTACCAGCATTATTCGCTGACCGGTCGTCGTCCCATGTTTATCTTTGTGTTTCTATAGGTGATGTCTAGTAGAGAGCGAGGGCTAGTGCCCGATAGAGTAGTACCTTTCCCTTGTTGTACGGCATGTGAGCCGGTTTGGTTATTTTTAGACTTATGTACTCTTGGATAGATGTTGACCATGCAGATTTTTGGCCGTAGCGTTTATCATGTTGATAAGCGTGGCATAACACCCCCGTTGGATTCTTTGTTATCTAGTTATCTTTTCTTCCGCTGTGCTAGTGTTCTGTTTTGATATCTGCATGCGTTAAGGCTTTTCTATAGCTTGTTTTGGGGGGGGGGGGGGGGGGTGTTACAGAGGGTCTTATGAGCTGGCTAGAAAGAGGACCGAGAGTGGAGGTTGTTCCACCTTTAAGAAGCCGCGACCGAGTTTCCAAGCTAAGAATGCAATCACCCCCAACCCAATGACCCAACCGGATGGAGCATGGGAATCAAGCTAAGACGTTTGCATGTCGTAGATGTGGGAAGGTGCATGCGGGCCAAGATTGCAATGGCCAAGCGTTTTGGTGCTACCGATGCGGAGATAGGGGCCACAAAGTCGCCGAGTGTCCCCAGCAAGCCAGTCAAAGGGCGTTGCCACCACCCCCAGGAGTCGGAGCAGCAGCTGGAGGTAGCTCGAGCCGTGGAGAAGCTGGAGGTAGCTCGAGCTGTGGAGCAGCCGGTGCCAGGCCATCGGGGAGAGTCTTTGTGATGGGGCGTTCGCAGGCGGAGACTGAGGGTCTAGTGGAGGTGGAGCTAGCAGGTAATCCTTTTCTAGCCCTAGTGCCCTACCCTTGTCTTTAGAACGCATCTCATTCCTTGAATGCCTTGTGTGTTGCCTTGCGTTTATTCGTTGCCTATTTGAGTTACCTTGCTATCCTTGTCATGTTTTCCCTTGATAAATGATTCTTTTGGAATTAAGGGTAAGCCTTTCTTGATGAATGATTCTCTTAGTTTTATGTGTAAGCTTTGTTGTGGAGTTAGTTATTCATTCTTGAAATGAATCAGGCTTAGGTTAATTCTATAACCTTTGCACTTGGGTATTCTTGCAACCTTCCTTTTTGAGAACCACCTAAATCTCTACAAGTATTCTTTGAATTTGGAAGTAGAAAACCCATACCAAAATCCTTTCTTGTTTGAGCCTAAAAGTCAAGTAAAATATTTAATTACAAGCCTTGAGTTTGGAACCCAGGTATACTCTTTTAATTCCATCTAAACCATAAATTTCCACTTTACCCAAATTCCCAAATTAAATCATCTTTTCCCCAATTTTCCCCCAAATCCCTAAAATTTCCAAATTCCCCTTCTCTTTCTTCCTCCTACCCGTGTGCAGCCGAGAAGAACCCCAACCCGCTACCCCCCTCCTTCCACCCGTCGACGCACTACCGCTGGACCGGCGCCGTCGAAGCCGAGCTGCTGTCGTCGCACGCCGGAGCCTCCCCGCCGAGCAGTTCTATTCGCCGGAAGCCGAGAGAGAGACCAACGAGGGTGAGAGTGAGAGCCGTCGAGAGAGAAGAAGAAGAAAGTTGTGGGCTTCTTTTGTTGAGCTTTGGGTCATATCCTACCATGCCTAGAAGGTCAAGTTTGCCTAGGAAAGTGGAATGGGTGGATGCCCATCACCTTGTTCTTGAAGGTAAAGCTTTTGACCCGGAATCTTTTCCTAATTCTTTGTTGGATATGCTTAGATTCCAAGGTTTGTTAGATGGGTTCCTCGCCATAAGGGCCGAGACCTACCCATGTTTGGTTAAGGAATTTTATCGTCACATGGTTGTGACAAAGGATGGTGATAAGCTTGAGATCACTTCTAAAGTGAGAGGTGTGAAAGTAGTTCAGTCTGAAAAGAGGCTAGCTCAGCTTTTGAGTTTATCTGCTTCGGAAGTTGCTTAGTAAAGCGGTAACTCGTGGATTAGTACGGATACCATAGGGGTATCGGGACTATTTGAGTTACTTGTTGGGTCGCACGAGTGGTTTCACTCAAGCTTCAAGACCAGAGAAAAAGTGGTTGTCCGCGGAGCAAAGGATCTTGGTTATGCTGGTGTCTGATTGCCCGTTGCCTAATAACAACAAAAGTCAGTTGTTGGGGAAGTTGGAGTGCACCCTTGCTTTCTGTCTTAAGAATATGGTCAAGTTCAATTTGCCGGCTTTGATGTTGCAACATATGGTTTTCTGCCGTGATCACAACCGAAAAGAGCCTACCGTATGGGATGGTGTTGAGCTGGATTCTTGTCAGGAAGGGTGTAAGTGTTGATGGTTGTATACTGAAGCTTGTGGGAAAGATGGTGTTGGATGCCACCAATCTTCGAAGTTATCCAAATGATGGACACCACATCTACCTTAGATAAAATTCTAGACTCTGGCAGAAATCCTAATGATAAAAAGGGTCTGGGATTTGAACAAGGTGAGTCTTCGAATAACGCACCAAAGTTCATCAAAGAGGGAATGTCTAAGACCACTGCTGATCACAGGTATGAACAAGGACAGTCATCTCAGGCAGTACAAAACAAGGGAAGGAGGTACGATAAGAATACTAATACTAACCTGGCCAGATCAACTCATCAATCTCATTATTCGAGGTTCAAAAATAAGATTGTCAAAGTTAAATCTTACACTCCCATTTGTCACTACTGTCAAACAAAAGGTCATACTCGACCTGAGTGTTATTTTTTCTACAGAGATCAAAGGAAGGAAAAATATCAGAATAAGACTATTACACCATTCCCTAGACAAGTTTGGGTCAGAAAGTCAGAAGTCATCTGCTACCCCACCATTGCTCTGACTGCATCTACAACTGATGCTAGATGGTATTTCGACAGTGGATGTTCCAAACATATGACTGGAAATATTAAGTGTCTGATGGCTGTTCAATCCAGCAGTGGAGCTGTAACATATGGAGATGGACAAAAAGGTAAAATCGTGGGAAAAGGTATCCTAAATATACCAGGCTTACCTCAATTAGAAGAAGTCCTGCTAGTCAGTGGGTTGAAAGCGAATCTAATTAGCATCAGTCAGTTGTGTGATCAAAATTGGAATGTGTGCTTCGATCGTAACTGCTGCAGAGTCAGTGACAAAGCAAATCAACTTGTCATGGAAGGAACTCGGTCCTCAGACAATTGTTATGTTTTGACAAATGAAACTGCTTGTCATCTATCCAAGTCTGATGAATAAAAACTCTGGCATAGACGACTGGGTCACATTAACTTCAGAGATATGGATAAGCTGATAAAACTGGAAGCAGTAAAAGGTGTACCTAAGATCAGAATTGATCTAGAAAAAATCTGTGGCGCATGTGCAATTGGGAAACAAATCAGAACTCCACACAAAGCAGTAAGAGGTATCACCACTGAGAAATGTCTAGACCTTGTCCATATAGAGCTCATGGGGCCAACATAAATTGAAAGTATTGGGGGAAAGAAATACATATTTGTGTGTGTGGACGACTTCTCTCGATACAGCTGGGTATACTTTCTGAGAGAAAAAACAGAAGCCTTCAAGGCCTTTAAGACTCTGTGCATAAGAATTCAGAAGGAAAAGGATGAGTCCATTATAAAAGTTCAGAGATTGAGGAGTGATCATGGAAAGGAATTTGAGAACTCACTATATTCACTACAAAAAAATGCCAAAATAGCGATGGATATAGCGACGGACCCATTCCGTTGTTAATATAGCGACAAAATAGCGACAACATAGTGACGGAGTTTCATTTTTTTATTACAGGAACATTTAGCGACGGATTTGCGACGGTTTGGCGACGGATATCACAACGGAATATTTCCGTCGTTAAAAATGTAGCTAATTTTAGCGGTAAATTTTGGCGCAAAAAATTACGACATATTTGCGACGGATTTGCAACGGATTTTTCGCGGGTTAATTCTAATATTTATTTTGCTACAGATTAGCGACGGATATCTACATCCGTCGCTAGAATTTAAAGCGATGTTAGTTTGTATTATTACTTTAGCGACGGTTATTTGTATCGGTCGCTAGCTAGCGACGGATATTTATATCGGTCGCTAGTTAGCGACGGGTATTTGTCTCCGTTGCTAGGTTTAGGATGTTAGTGTGTTCGAATTCATAGTGTAGCAACGGATTTAAATTTCCGTAGTTAACGTAGCGACGGAAATTTAATCCGTCGCTAGGATTAGAATGGTGGTATAGCCGTGTTTATCATCTAGCGACGGATTTAATTATCCGTCGTTAAAATAGCTACGGAAATTTAATCCGTCGCTAGGATTAGAATGGTGGTGTAGCCGTATTTATCATGTAGCGACGGATTTAATTATCCGTCGTTAAAATAGCTACGGAAATTTAATCCGTCGCTAGGAATATAATGGTAGTGTAGCCGTATTTATCATCTAGCGACGGATTTAATTATCCGTCGCTAAAATAGCTACGGAAATTTAAACCGTCGCTAGCCTTGTAATGCTGATATATCCGTAATTATCATTTAGCATGGTTTAGAATGTTATTGCATCTGTATTTTTCATTTAGCAAGGGATTTAAATTTCCGTCGTTAAAATACGCGGGTCAACTAATACACTGACCATCTTTTTGTGTAATACAACGATAAATCTCCTCCGACCGCCTCTCCTCCCGATAAATCTCCTCCGACCGCCGCTGGGACCAATCAGCGTACCGCCTCTCCTCCGATTGCCATTGCATCGTCTCCCACCGCCCCTGCATCGTCTCCGACTGCCGTTGCTTGCCCCGCCAACCGCCGCTACTTCCTCAGCCAGCTAGCCGCTGCTTGCTCCGTCGGCCGCCGGTTGACCTGCTTCCTTCTGGTATGTGTGTTTATGGTTTCCCCATATATAATTTGTGAAATAAAGAGATTATGATAGGTTTTAAGCCTAAGTTGCAGTAGCAGTAGTGCAATTTTATCACTAGGGTTCCTACTTCCTACTTCGTGATTGTCCTGCGATTTTCTTGTGGTGTGGGCAGGTAAATGGGGGTTAGGGTAGACAGTAAATGGTGATGATTGGCTTATGTGAGTGTTAGCTTCCAGAGTACGTAGTCTAATGAATTGGTTCAAAAAAAAATCAGATTGAACAACTACCTTACATTCTGCTTTCTGCAGATTTGTGTCACATTCTGCTTTCTGCAGATTTGTACCTACAAATGACCTTACACCTAAGTACTCTATCTTGCACATAAAACCAGGGCACACAACACAATTTTTTATTCCAATCATTTACTAAGGAGAAAATGCAGTGTTGGTCTTCATCTTCTAGTCTACTAAAGCAATATAATAAATGGTGCAAGTGTTAGCTGCTTAACTCTAAAAGCAAGTGTTACTAAATGCAAGTGTTAGTAGCTTAGCTCTAGAGCTTGTCTTATGTATATAATGGTGCAGGTATCCATCAAATTCTTTACAAGTATAATAACTAAAAAATGGTAAAGGTACATCCTTTATTAGTGTACTATTTCAACATTCCAAAATAACTCAGTGTCGGGATGAACTGCAACTTGAAGTATGTTTCATGTTGCAAGACAACTAGTTTTGATGGCATTTAGTGATGACAAAAAGTGTCTTTCTTCAGATAGATGATGTTGTCTTAGGAGCATGACAGCAGCCATAGATTGTTGCTTAATATAAGCATCATTGAAGTTTTCTTTCATGGAACTATGGAAGAAGGTGATGAAACAACCTGTGTTAGCATTGATCCATGAACCACACTAATTACTTTTAGTTCTTTAGACAATCTCTTGGAACAACCTGTGTTGCTTAATGTGTTGTCTTGCAAGTTGCAGAAGTGTCTTATTCTTTGCAGTTGGAAATGTAGGAACTCTATCATCTGAGTTTAATTAATCAACCAGAATGACTATGTGAGTGTTAGCTTCCAGAGTACATAGTCTAATGAATTGGTTCAAAAAAATACATCTCTGCATTCTGCTGTCTTTACCTCATGAAACCAGAAGACTGCTAGATGGGATCAACCATCAAGCAGATCAGATCAGCCACAGAACCACATAATCAATATATGAGTCTCAGTATATATTCAAATTTTATATTAAATTTTTTAAACTATTTTAAGTTCGGGTTGTTAATTAACTACTACATTTAATTTTATGCAGACATCTATATTAATTAACTATGTTTTTTTTTACAAAATTATAAAACATGATGATATTGTCAAATTTAATGTACTATCGTCGGGAAGCTTAGCTTGCTCAAGCCCATATATTACATAAAATTTTTCCAAAACTTTAATTTAAAAATGCAGGCTACTTGAATTGCCTTAAGTTGGAACCTACTAAAATAAGGCAGCATGCATGGTACAGTACTTTGAAGATCAAATTGCAAACAATAAATTAATTAGTTGTCTTTTGTGTGGATGATTGCTTCACCCATTGCTCTCGACCAACTCAGCTTACTCAATGCATGGTATTTAATATATTAACCACAACCTACAATACTTGGTAGCTCTTTTGGGTATATATATATATATATATAACTTGGTAGCTCTTTTGGGTATATATATATATATATATATATATGGGTAGTTATAGCTAATATATCTCGCTTTAATATGTTTGACATTGGTTCATAAAAATGTTGTATTTTAAAAATAAAGAAAATGTATATTTAATTACGTAACATATATAATTTATGAGAGATTACAAATTTAAGTTGTTGCGCTTCAATTATCAAAATAATATTTTGATAGATGTAAGTTATTACATAAGCCTTTGGTTACATTCTGCTTTCTGCATCACATTTTGAAAGATTGTGTTTTGAAAAAAGAAGCCTTTCTGCATTCTTTTAAGGCTGACCAACATAAATAATTACCCTTCTTTAATCTCTGCTCAAATTATTACACTAAAACCTCTCATTTTCTTAAACAGTTTGTGTCATACCTCTAGGAAGCATTATTTCTTTATTTTTTACTTCATATTTTAGTGAATCCCCTTTCTTTTCCCTGATGTTTAACATAGTTGTGGATGGATAAAACATGGTCTCCAACACGGATATATGAATGCATAAATATTCTTAAATTTTAATAAAATATATGGATAGCTGTTGTGTTTTATTTGTTGTCTTTGAATTGTGAGCTCAAAATGTCTAAGCGGCCAATAATAACGTTGTATAATTGCAGTTTCAAGTCAAGAATCACAAATATTGGTTGGGAATCGCATTATTACAGTCAAGCTTCTTCAAGTTCTTCGGCGATTGATAAGGTTTGAAAAATTACAAAATTTTCATTTGTTCTTTATTATTTATTATTTGCCGGCTAAACCGCCTGTGGGTACCGGTACTTGTGTTTTCTCCGGCTAAACCGCCTGTGGGTACCGGAGGTTTATAAATATGCATGATTGTTTATTTGTTGTTTATTTGCCGGCTAAACCGCCTGTGGGTACCGGCACATGTGTTTTCTCCGGCTAAACCGCCTGTGGGTACCGGAGGTTTATGAATGCATGATTGTTTATTTGCAACTTTATTTGAATGTCTTAGTGATTGTTTTTTAAAAAAAAAATGAAATGTAGCATTGAAAAATATTTTGAAATAGGTGATAAGTACAATGAGTTCAAATTGTCATTGGATGTATACACGAATTAGAAATGGTCTTCTCACTGAAGAGTTTTTGGCTGGTCTTGAAACTTTTATCCAATTTGCTACTAGTCAACATAGTTGGATGGACGGGGAAAGAATTAAGTGTCCATGTAATCAACGCAAGTGTCAAAACACCAAGTATTTAGATGTGCCTACCGTGAATTATCACTTAGCAAAATATGGATTTGTGTCAGACTACTATGTTTGGCGTTTCCATGGCGAGTGCAATGTCAATTTAGATGTTGATCAAGACGTTGGTGGCCCATCTCAAGTGGCTAGTGAAGAAGCATCTAATGCTTACCACACAATGGTTATGGATGCTGCTGGTCCTGAATTTAATGTGGATGAAATAGAAGAATCTCCAAATCCTGATGCCCAAAAGTTTTATGACATGCTGAAAGCTGCAGATCAAGAGTTGTGGCCTGGGAGTAAAAAACACTCGCAATTGTCTCTTGTAGCTCGACTGATGAGCTTGAAATCAGAGAATCACATATCAGAAAAATGTTTCAATCAATTCACTGAACTTTTGAAAGAAGTTGTTCCGGAGGATAATCTAGTTCCTGACAACTTCTACGAAACCAAAAGGCTATTACGTGGTATGGGATTGCCGGTTCAGAAGATTGATTGTTGCAAGAACAACTGCATGATATATTGGGAATCAGATATAGATATGACAACGTGTAAGTTTTGTGGCCACCCTCGATTTAAACAAACTTCTCGTGGAGCTACAAAACGACAGAAAACTAATGTAGCATACAAAAAAATGTATTACTTTCCTTTGGTTCCTCGACTGCAGAGGTTGTATGCATCTAATGCTACAGCAAATGATATGAAGTGGCATGCAAATTCCGTTGAAGATGGAATCATGCGTCATCCCTGAGACTCGCTTGCTTGGAAGCATTTTAACGACACTTATCCTGACTTTGCATCTGAAATTCGAAATGTCAGGTTAGGTCTGTGCACCGATGGTTTTCAACCATTTGGACAGTCAGGACAACAATACTCCTCATGGCCTGTGATACTTACAACGTACAACTTGCCTCCTTGGATGTGTATGAAGGAGGAGTATATGTTCTTGACCGTATTGGTTCCAGGTCCAAAAAATCCAAAAGAGAAGATAGATGTTTTTTTACAACCGCTTGTTATGGAGTTAACCCAATTATGGGAAGTCGGTGTTCAAACATATGATATTTCAAAGAAGCAGAATTTTCAGATGCGAGCTGCCCTTATGTGGACAGTTAGTGATTTTCCTGCATATTCGATGTTATCCGGGTGGAGCACTGCTGGGAAGTTAGCTTGTCCGTATTGCATGGACAAGTCGGATGCCTTCACCCTAAAACACAGTGGTAAGCAATCGTGGTTTGACAATCATCGAAAATTTTTGCCACCGAATCATCCATTTCGCAGGAATAAGACTGCATTCTTTAAGAACAGAGCGGTTACAACTGAGGCACCGCCTGTTCGGTCAGGATATGATATCCTTGCAGAGATTGAGACTTTGGGCCTTAAGAAGGTCACTGAATTGGATGCAGCTGAAGTTAATGGATTAATTTCCAAAACTTGCGGTTGGAAGAAGCGAAGTATCTTTTGGGATTTGCCGTATTGGAGTTCACACTTGGTACGACATAATTTGGATGTCATGCATATAGAAAAAAATGTGTTTGATAATGTGTTCAACACAGTAATGGATGTTACTGGAAAAACAAAGGACACGTATAAATCTAGAGAAGAGTTGAATGATTATTGTCGGCGGCCTGAGCTGAAGCAAGACCCTGTGACCCGAAAGTTCCCAAAAGCTTGTTACACACTTGACAAACCGGCAAGGGAAGCATTGTGTGAATGGGTTAGGAATCTCAAATTTCCTGATGGCTATGCATCGAATATGAGTCGATGTGTAGATATGAAGAAGTTGAAGTTGTTTGGTATGAAAAGTCACGACTGTCATGTGTTTATGCAGAGGTTAATACCAATTGCATTTCGTGAGTTGCTCCCGCTAAATGTTTGGAAAGTTCTTACAGAGTTGAGTTTATTCTTTAAGAACCTTACTTCCACTACAATTGCAGTTGAGGAAATGACGAAGCTTGATAATGACATACCTCTCATTCTATGTAAACTTGAACGTATATTTCCACCTAGTTTCTTTGACTCTATGGAGCATCTACCAATCCACTTAGCTTATGAAGCAAAGATTGCTGGTCCAGTTCAATATAGGTGGATGTATCCATTTGAGAGGTATAATTGCTGGTCTAGTTTTATGTGTTTCCAAACATATAATAACATTGTCACTAATATATGTCAATTTTGTTTAGATACCTTCGAAAATTAAAAATAATGTCAAAAATAAAGCTAAAGTCGAGGGCTCTATATCCAATGCATATTTGGTGGAAGAAGCATCATCGTTCTGTTCATACTATTTTGAGGACCATGTTAGCACGAAGCACAGAAACGTGCCTCGAAATGCAGATAGTAGTGAATATGTAGTTGATGAACATGAAGAAACTCTTTCTATATTCAAGTATCCGGGTCGAGCATTTGGTAAAGCAAAAGCGAGATATATGACAGATGAAGAGTATAAAGCTGCTCAAACCTATGTGTTATTAAATTGTTCAGAAGTGGAGTCATTTATAGAGTAAGAATTCAGTTCTGTTCAATTTTCTTATACAATGTGTTATAAATGTTAACCCACTTATTTTTTTAAAGGGTTTATATTGAGGAGTTAAAGAGGAGTCAACCAAACATTTCCAGTACTACCATTGATGGTAAATTGGAAAATGAATTTGCAAATTGGTTCAATGACTATGTAAGACTTGTATATATATTATGTATATTAAAATTCCAATTAGTTAATAAACTTTAACACTTAGATTATGTATTATACAGGCACATGATCCTTCAAATAACATTTCAAATAAATTTATAAAGGATCTTGCAAAAGGGCCACTAAGATGCGTTAATACCTATTCAGGGTATTATGTGAATGGCTTTAAATTTCACACCATTGGTTATGGTGGAGCTAAAGAAACAATGAACAGTGGAGTTTGCATAAAAGGTACAAACTATAGTGTAGATGAAAGTGATTATTATGGTCGATTGGTAGAAGTTCTACAAGTAGAGTACCCTGGCTTACCAATCAAGAGGTCAATATTATTCAAGTGTGAGTGGTTTGACCCGACAAGTGTGGGCATGAAGGTTCATTCTGAGTATAAACTTGTTGAAGTTAATCATAAGCGTAGATTTAATCGCTATGAACCATTCGTTCTAGCAATGCAAGCTGCTCAAGTTTATTATTGTACATACCCAAGTTTGCGTCGCGAAAAACTTGACTGGTGGGCTGTTTGCAAAATTAAAGCGAGATCTGAAATAGTAGTTCCTGAATCATCTATATCTACTGAAGAATCACAAATACCTGCACCATTTCAAGAGGAAACTATCGACAATCATGATTTTATGCAAATAGATGATGATCCTTTGCGTTTAAATGACCCAAATGGTGGGGTGATAGAATTTGATGGCGAACATGGTGACATCGAAGATGAACTTGAGTTAGAGGAAGAAATAGATGCCTTAAGTGGAGGTTCAGTAATAGGAGATAATGATAATGCTATTGATAGTTACTACATAGTTTACACAGTAAATGGACATGTTATATTTATATGTTATTTAACTTTATTATATTTTTTTAGATGACACGAGATGGTAATAGAGTTGGACGCATAAGAGGACGTGGACGTGGTGCATCGGTTACACTTCCGAGTTCTAGCCCATCATCGTCTGCACTTCCTTCTCTTGTGGCACCTATTGTGGCACCTCCTCCTGCTATAGTATCTCCAACTATTGTGTCACCTGCTTCTATTGGTTCACCACCTGAATTGCCGATTCCATCACCATCAGACTCTACTGCTCCACCCACATCCTCATCAGTTGCAGGATCATCTACTGCTTGTGATTTGCCTATTGTTCATATAGAGGACGGGAGGTAAAAATGTGTTTTTATGTTTACATTTATGTGTATATTATTTTTATCTTTATTAAACTTTTCTATATGTACAGGTTAATGCCATCTAACACATGTTCACATACAATTACAAAAATATTAAAGCAAAGGATCTACCCTGATGGGTATACATGGAAGACTGTATCTAATGAGTACAAGGAATACTACTTTGAAGAATTTAAGGTAAATTTACAATATGTTTTTGAAAATAATGTGGTTCATTCTTGAAGCTAGTGTTATATAATGTATGTTAGTAACTTTGTCCAATGCATCTTATGGATGATGTTGCATATATTTGACAAATTTGTAAATTGTAATGTTGCAGAAATATTTCAAGTGGGACGAGACCATTAACAGTCAAGTACATAAAGTGTTTTTAACACAAACAAGCACACGCTATACCGATATGGTCTCCAAAATAAAGAAGAATCGGACTTCATCTGGGAAGCCAGAGTTTGTACATGAAGATACATGGCGTATTTGGGAGGCATATTGGGATAGGCCTGAAGTTAAAGCTAAATCTGAACAGCAACGCAAAAATAGGATGAGTGAGGTAGCAGGACCTGGTACGGGATGTTCTCGACATACCGGAGGATCTAGATCAAGTATTGAGCACTTTCACACATTGGTAATACATTTAATATACAAATTTATTATTTGTAAATATTTTAAGGATTTAAGCATTCATTTTATTATTTGTGCTTGTTTAATAGCGGAATGAACTTCAAAAGGAGCCTAATCTGTTTGAGTGCTTTACTCATACGCACAAAAAGAAGGATGGTACATTCGTTGATGAGAGGTCAAAGAAAATCGCTGTAAGTATAACCTACTTATGTTATATTACATTCGTGTGATGAGCTATTTAATACACATGAGTTAAGGGAGAAAACTCCAATGTTAGGGTGGCTGGCTAGAATCTCCAATGTTTAATTATTTGTAAATGTGCATGGAGAAGATGGAGGATAAAGAGAGGTTTCTGTAGCTTGTAGCTTGTAGATGATGGTCCCTTATACTGTTCTTGTGGGCTTACTTATATAGGCTTCTTACATGGTTTGGTTCCCCTCCATTAATTGGTGAAGTACTTTCTTAATTTGTGGGATAGTGATCTTAATAAGACCACAGATTATTATGCCACTTTCCTTGATTACTGATTAATAAAGTTGAGTTACATAGTTGATATGTGGAAATGGTATCACAGTAGATTGACTAGTAGGCAATCAAGGTGTCTTACATTAGACAGCGATACCATGAATATAAACATAATAGTTTAGGTATTCTTAGTTTAAAGTTAAACTTCTTAATTGTGTGTATATGCTACTTGTCTTATATGCTGTTTGAGGTCAAAGAAAATCGTTGTTTGAGTGCTTATATGCTTTTATATACTTGTCTTATTTTGTATATGTTTTTAATTGTAGGATGAAATACAAGCACGGCGTGATGCTATAATGCAAGAGGCGGAAGGGTCAACTGACCCACCAGTTATAGACATGTCGCAAATGTATGTGGATGTTGTTGGTGGGGTAAAAAAGCAGCGTATTTATGGCTTAGGGACTAAGTCATCTGCATTTATCAGTGGGAATAGCTGTAGTTCATCTGCTACTTCACAACTTCAACAAGAGGCAATGAAGGAGATGATGAACTAACAGTTAGAGACCATGCGAGGTGAGATGGAAGCTAAACTACAAGCTGAAAGAACTGAGATGGAAGCTAAACTACAAGCTGAAAGAATTGAGATGGAAGTTAAACTACAAGCTGAAAGAACTCAAATGCAGGCTCAAGTGCAGACTCAAATGCAAGCTCAAATTGCAAGTTTGATGGATGAGTTGCGTCGCAATGGTATGCTATCCAATCCAAGTACTCAAGCTCAACAATCGGCTAATTCAAATGCTGAAAACTTAGGAGATGATTAGATTATGTTTTTTTAATATATTTTGTACTGGTACTAATGATGTAACATTATACTACAATACATTTGTTGTTGTTATTCACTTTGAATGCTTTAATATAGTATATTTTATAATTATAATATTCAAGTACTATATTATAGCCTTAATTCATGTTTCTGATTATTAATTAGGGGCAATTATTTTATTAATTTTTAAAATTTAGCGACAAATAAATATTGTAGTAAGGCAACGAAATAGCAACGAAAAAATCCGTAGTTAAATTTAGCGACGGATATTTTCGTCACTAAGTTGTAGTTAAATCACATTAAATTCAAATAATAATTAAATTCTAACGACGGATAATAGCCGTCGTTAAATTAACGACGGAAAATAGCGACGGTCCTGTCGGTCGCTATTTGTAGTGACGGAAAAATCCGTAGCTAAGTCGTTGCAAATGTCGTCGCCGTTACGTCGTAGTAGAAGTTGGACGACGTTTTTTTTTTGCTTTAGCGACGGAATTTCCGTCGCTAAACATAGCGACCGAATCTTCGGTCGTTATTCGGTCACAAATGTCGTCTTCAAATCCGTCGCCTAGTGAAATTTAGCGACGGATTTATTTCGGCTAACGACGGACTTGTCCGTCGCAAGAATTCGCGACGGACAATTGTTGTGTCGCTAAAGTCTAGCGACGAGGGTTTTAGCTATGGACGAAATCCGTCGCTATACGGTTTAGCGACGGAATTTCCCCTATTTAGCGACGGAAAAGTCCGTCGCTATTTTAGCGTTTTTTTGTAGTGATTCAGACTTCTGCTCCGAGCATGGTATATCAAATGAGTTCTCAGCTCCTAGAACTGCTCAACAGAATGGAGTAGTGGAAAGAAAGAATCGAACTTTACAAGAAATGGCTAGAGTTATGCTACATGCCTCACATCTGCCACAACGCTTCTGGGCTGAAGCAGTTCACATAGCGTGTCATACTATAAATAGGGTCTACCTTAGACCAGGAACAACGAAAACTCCTTATGAGATCTGGAAGGGAAAGAAGCCAAATCTGAAATATTTTCATGTGTTTGGGACAAAGTGTTATGTGCTGGCCGATAGAGAACAAAGAGGGAAGTTCGAACCCAAGAGTGATGAGAGCATCTTCCTTGGCTACTCTCCGAATAGTCGTGCCTACATAGTCTACAACAAGAGGACTCAGTCTGTGATGGAGTCAGTAAACGTGGTTATCGATGACAACCCAGAAGAATCAATAGACTCAACAGTGATAGAGTCTTCTCTAAGTGATCCAGATGCGAGTAATAACAACAGTCAACTCAAACCACAAGATTCGTCAGATGAAGATCAAGAAAGTTTGGAACAGGAGATAGATCTCATGAATGATGTTGGTAAAGACAAGCCCACCAGAACTTAGAAAAACCATCCATCAGATAACATTATAGGAGATCCATCAGATAGGATGAAGACCAGGAGCAAAATAAGAAATAATCTGACAAAAATATCTGGGTCTGCTTGCTATACCTCAAAGATAGAACCCAGAAATGTCAAAGAAGCCTTACAGGATGATCTGTGGATCAAGGCAATGCAGGAGGAACTACATCAGTTTGAGCGGAATCATGTCTGGAATCTTGTACCAAGACCTGATGGTGTCAACGTAATTGGAACGAAGTGGATCGTTAAAAATAAAACTGATGAAGCCGGGAATATAGCTAGAAACAAAGCTCGGTTAGTTGCTCAAGGTTATACTCAGATTGAAGGGATTGACTATGACGAGACGTTTGCTCCTGTAGCTAGACTCGAGTCAATCAGAATCTTGCTGGCTGTCGCATGCATTTTGGGATTTACATCATATCAGATGGATGTCAAGACAACATTTTTGAATGGGTATCTCCATGAAGATATCTATGTGGCTCAACCTAACGGTTTTGAAGATCCAGAACACCCTACTTATGTCTATAAGCTTCGAAAAGCTCTCTACGATCTTAAACAAGCCCCACGGGCTTGTATGAACGACTGACACAGTATTTGCTCCAGCATGGGTATAAACACGGAAGTGTTGACAAAACTCTGTTTGTAAAACTACTGGAAGTCATGTAACCATAGCTCAAATCTATGTTGATGACAATGTGTTTGGATCGACCCTACAGAAATACACTGATGAGTTGGTAAAAGTAATGGAGGAAGAGTTTGAAATGTCCATGGTTGGTCAACTGACATACTTCCTAGGTCTACAGGTCAAGCAAAGTTCTGAAGGATACTTTATTTCGCAAGAGAAGTATGCTAAGAATCTTGTCAAAAAGTTTGATCTGGAAACATGTAAATCTTTCAGAACACCTATCTCCACCTCTACAAAAGTATCGAAAGATGAAACGGGTGTATCAGTGGATAACACAGTCTATCGTAGCTTGATAGGTAGTCTACTGTATCTAACTGCCAGTCGACCAGGCATAATGTTCAGTGTAGGAATCTGTGCAAGGTATCAATCTGATCCAAAGGAATCTCATCTGATAGCTGCAAAACGCATTCTGAAGTACATTAAAGGAACGATACAATATGGACTCTGGTATTCCAAGGACAGTGAACTGAATCTGGTTGCATACTGTGATGCTGATTGGGCAGGAAATATTGTTGATCGGAAAGTTACTTCTGGGGGATGTTTCTTCGTTGGTAAAAACTTAGTATCATGGCTAAGCAAGAAACAGAATTCAATCTCTCTAAGCACTGTAGAGGCCGAATACATAGCTGCAGGTAGTTGTTGTACTCAGTTGGTATGGATGAAACAGATGTTTCTGGGTTATGGTCTTACTCAAGGAACAATGACACTCTTCTGTGACAATGTCAATGCTATTAACATCAACAAGAATCCTGTTCAACATTCCAGAACGAAGCATATTGACATCAGGCATCATTATATCAGAGACCTGGTTGAATCCAAGGAAATTGAATTGGAATACATTCAGACTGACAAACAACTGGCGGACATTCTGACTAAGCCATTGGATGCTAATCGTTTTGAAATTCTCAGATCTGCTCTGGGAATTTGCAGAATTGATTGATTAAAGCAGTTGGTCCGTCAGAGAGGAGTTGGTGTATACGGGTCAGTGTTATGATTTGACTTTCCTTAGAGACTCCTCTCTATTTATGTTAAGAAGATTATTTAACATTATGCTTCTCAGAGATATCTTAAAAGATCTTAATTTCTTTTCGAATTTCAAATTTCCTTGGGTTCCGTTTCCTTCCTAAAAAGGAGCTGTACCGTTGTGTCAATCAATCGCGTATGCATGATATTTGACAAGCCGCATTAATTAGGGTTCATCACCCTTAAGACTATTTGATACCGGGTCAAGAAGAAAAACACATCTTCGATCACCACAGCTCTCAGCTTTCTATCTCTCTTGCATATCTGCCTTCAGTGATCTGCTCTTCTCTTCACACATAACCTTCAATGGCAGACCCTGTAAGAAACATCATTATCAAACTTGGAAGCAAGACACACTCTCCGGAGGTGGCCCTTAAGCATATTCAGACACTGATGTAGTTTGCTATGAAGAAGAAGCTCAAACTTGATCCTCTGCTTCGTGACGAGATTTTAGTAACTGTGATGACCTATTACCCAGAGTTTTATGCAGAATGGTCTGAAGATGATGCGACTGAACTGCTTATGATGGTTTCTGAAGCCAGTGATGAAGTTTCTCCAGTATGTATTCCAGAACCCTTGGATGGAAATCGGGCCGGGGCATTCCTTCATTACTTTGCACATCGAGCCCTAGAATTGGTTGAGGCCTTTCGACGGCAAGCGGAGGCGCAACCTCTGTATCTCGCAGCTGCTCAAAAAGAGGCAACACACAGACAGGAGATCCTCTGAAACATGTCAAACTATTCTGAAACTCCTATTGAAATTTCACCAGATAAACCTGATGTTTCTGCTACCCCATCTTGTGTTCCTGTTATTTCTGAAAATTTAACTGCTTTGGATTCCGAGAAGCCTCTTATGAATGTTGATTCTTTATCTCTGCCTTTGAGTGAATCTGTTGGTATGAAAACTGATGTCTTGCATGTGCCTGATGAGAAAGCAAAGTCCTCTGATGAGCTAAATCCACTGAGTTTAGTCGTTTACTCTTCTGATAATATTGCTTTGCCTCCTACTGAGAATGTTGATGACACTAAAGAAACTTGCTCTGTTGTTGATACTCCTGTTTTACCTGCTACTGTTGAAACTGTTAATTTATCAAGCCCCCACAAGTCTGAGAAAACAGGTGGAATTCCTGTTTACACTGCAACATCTTTAGGACAGAGTCTGGAACATGGGCGACACTTTGCTGGGCTACCATCTGATTCCGTCCCTCGACCATATCGAGTGATTCATCCTTCCGAATCCTCCAGTGAAGATGATAAAATACTGGCTGAAGTGTATGGATCTCAAGCACTTCAATCTGATGTTCCAAATATTGAGGCAACTGCTCATCCTAACTCCACGAATTTCAAAATTCGAGAGATTTCGAATATTATTGGAAGCTCGTCTGCAAATGTTTCTGATTCTAGCCACTCTGTGACTCGAGTTCAGTCCCCAACCAAAGAATCAAGACGGTCAAAAAGGAAGAATGTCCCAGTAAAGGTTGTTGTTGAGACCGGTGATGATAATGCTGATGTGGATCAGCCTGAGAAGAAGAGAAAGTCGAGTGAGAATGTTAAGCCTGAAGGAAACCCGCCTGTTCAACAAGTGTTCAAGACTCTACGATCGTCTGTTAAGCAAAAAGGATCTACTGCTGTTCAAGCTACCTCTGTACCAGCCCCTTCTGTCAGAAAAGGGAAGCCATCCACACGATCAAGAGGTCGAAGTATCACCCCTGAGGTCCCACCTGTTGAAGAAACTGACCCATCTGTTTACCGGCCTCAGTTTGTATCTCCTGCTGCACAGACCAAATGGGCCACTATGGTTAGAAGGGATCTTATTGTTCAAAGATCGGTGGACGAGAACCAGCTGAACTCCGTTTGTGACATTCTGCCCTTGCTGAATGAAGTCGGATTGTTGAAAACTATCACGGACATCTGCCCTTACTCTAAGCTG